CGTGTTGAGGGACATGGTAATAGCCCTGGCGTGTTGAGGGACATGGTAATAGCCCTGGATGAAATGTCCTATCATGTGCTCAAGGCAAACACGTTATAATGTAACATGTAGATAATAGGACGGCACGGTGGCTGAGTGGATAGCACTCTCGCCTCTCAGCAAGAAGGTCCTGGGTTCGAATCCCGGTCGGACCAGGGCCTTTCTGAGTGGAGTTTGCATGTTCTCCCCGTGTCTGCGTAGGTTTCCTCCGGGTACTCCGGTTTCCCCTACCACTAAAAATATGCCCAATAGTTCTGGCATGTGCCTCCTGTACTGGCCCCGCTCCCATCTCTGTGTGGAGTGAGAGACAAATGCCCAAATTAACAATTGTAAACCGCTTTGAGACTCAGATCTGCAGTGAAAAGGCGGTATATAAATAAAGATTACTAAAAGATTACTAATAGTACACTTCAAGGCCTTTCTGAAGAAGAATATTCAGAAAGGCCTTTCGGCTCAGCTCCCTCTTTACCACAACGGTCCGATACAGCTCTGACTGCAGACGCTGCTCCCTCTTTACCACAACGGTCCGATACAGCTCTGACTGCAGACGCTGCTCCCTCTTCACCACAACGGTCCGATACAGCTCTGACTGCAGACGCTGCTCCCTCTTCACCACAACGGTCCGATACAGCGACCGCGTCACTGCGCACGCTGCACCGATCCGCCTGTCAATCTCACGCTCCATCCTTCCCTCACTCGTGAACAAGACCCCGAGATACTTGAACTCCTCCACTTGAGGAAGGACCTCTCCACCCACCTGCAGAGGGCAAGGCACCTTTTTATGAAAATAACCATAAAAGAGTAAATGTATTCATTTGTGTGTAGCAGCTATTTAGGTTTAATGTACACCAAAGGGCGTCTCTAAGATTTAGCTTCTGCCTATTCCTTTTTTCAGACCGTATTTAGACCTTTTGCCTGAAAATGTTTTTGAATCGTCAAAAATGTCTGAAATAAATTGAAAATTAATGAATGAATTTAAAAATGGATTTTATGAAATAAGTTCCTTGTAAATAAATCAGCTATTGCCAATCTCTTCACACTCCTGCTTTACACTTCACAGTATCACTCCTGCTTTACACTTCACAGTATCACTCCTTTACACTTCACAGTATCACTCCTGCTTTACACTTCACAGTATCACTCCTGCTTTACACTTCACAGTATCACTCCTTTACACTTCACAGTATCACTCCTGCTTTACACTTCACAGTATCACTCCTGCTTTACACTTCACAGTATCACTCCCTTACACTTCACAGTATCACTCCTGCTTTACACTTCACAGTATCACTCCTGCTTTACACCTCACAGTATCACTCCTGCTTTACACTTCACTGTATCACTCCTGCTTTACACTTCACAGTATCACTCCTGCTTTACACCTCACAGTATCACTCCTGCTTTACGCTTCACTGTATCACTCCTGCTTTACACGTCACAGTATCACTCCTGCTTTACACCTCACAGTATCACTCCTGCTTTACACTTCACAGTATCACTCCTGCTTTACACTTCACTGTATCACTCCTGCTTTACGCTTCACTGTATCACTCCTGCTTTACACGTCACAGTATCACTCCTGCTTTACACCTCACAGTATCACTCCTGCTTTACACTTCACTGTATCACTCCTGCTTTACGCTTCACTGTATCACTCCTGCTTTACACCTCACTGTATCACTCCTGCTTTACGCTTCACTGTATCACTCCTGCTTTACACTTCACAGTATCACTCCTGCTTTACACTTCACAGTATCACTCCTGCTTTACACTTCACTGTATCACTCCTGCTTTACACTTCACAGTATCACTCCTGCTTTACACTTCACAGTATCACTCCTGCTTTACTCACTCCTGCTTTACACTTCACAGTATCACTCCTGCTTTACACTTCACAGTATCACTCCTGCTTTACACCTCACAGTATCACTCCTTTACACTTCACTGTATCACTCCTGCTTTACACCTCACTGTATCACTCCTTTACACTTCACAGTATCACTCCTGCTTTACACTTCACAGTATCACTCCTGCTTTACACCTCACAGTATCACTCCTGCTTTACACTTCACTGTATCACTCCTGCTTTACACTTCACAGTATCACTCCTGCTTTACACTTCACAGTATCACTCCTGCTTTACACCTCACTGTATCACTCCTGCTTTACACTTCACAGTATCACTCCTTTACACTTCACTGTATCACTCCTGCTTTACACCTCACTGTATCACTCCTGCTTTACACTTCACAGTATCACTCCTGCTTTACACCTCACTGTATCACTCCTGCTTTACACTTCACAGTATCACTCCTTTACACTTCACAGTATCACTCCTGCTTTACACTTCACAGTATCACTCCTGCTTTACACTTCACAGTATCACTCCTTTACACTTCAATGTATCACTCCTGCTTTACACTTCACAGTATCACTCCTGCTTTACACCTCACAATATCACTCCTGCTTTACACTTCACAGTATCACTCCTGCTTTACACTTCACTGTATCACTCCTGCTTTACACTTCACAGTATCACTCCTTTACACTTCACAGTATCACTCCTTTACACTTCACAGTATCACTCCTGCTTTACACTTCACAGTATCACTCCTGCTTTACACCTCACTGTATCACTCCTGCTTTACACTTCACAGTATCACTCCTTTACACTTCACAGTATCACTCCTGCTTTACACTTCACAGTATCACTCCTGCTTTACACTTCACAGTATCACTCCTTTACACTTCAATGTATCACTCCTGCTTTACACTTCACAGTATCACTCCTGCTTTACACCTCACAATATCACTCCTGCTTTACACTTCACAGTATCACTCCTGCTTTACACTTCACTGTATCACTCCTGCTTTACACTTCACAGTATCACTCCTTTACACTTCACAGTATCACTCCTTTACACTTCACAGTATCACTCCTGCTTTACACTTCACAGTATCACTCCTGCTTTACACCTCACAGTATCACTCCTGCTTTACACTTCACAGTATCACTCCTTTACACTTCACTGTATCACTCCTGCTTTACACTTCACAGTATCACTCCTGCTTTACACCTCACAGTATCACTCCTGCTTTACACTTCACAGTATCACTCCTGCTTTACACCTCACAGTATCACTCCTGCTTTACACTTCACAGTATCACTCCTGCTTTACACTTCACAGTATCACTCCTGCTTTACACCTCACAGTATCACTCCTGCTTTACACCTCACTGTATCACTCCTGCTTTACACTTCACAGTATCACTCCTTTACACTTCACAGTATCACTCCTTTACACTTCACAGTATCACTCCTGCTTTACACTTCACTGTATCACTCCTGCTTTACACTTCACAGTATCACTCCTGCTTTACACTTCACTGTATCACTCCTGCTTTACACTTCACTGTATCACTCCTGCTTTACACTTCACAGTATCACTCCTGCTTTACACTTCACAGTATCACTCCTGCTTTACACTTCACTGTATCACTCCTGCTTTACACTTCACAGTATCACTCCTGCTTTACACTTCACAGTATCACTCCTGCTTTACACCTCACAGTATCACTCCTGCTTTACACTTCACTGTATCACTCCTGCTTTACACTTCACAGTATCACTCCTGCTTTACACCTCACAGTATCACTCCTGCTTTACACTTCACTGTATCACTCCTGCTTTACACCTCACAGTATCACTCCTGCTTTACACTTCACAGTATCACTCCTGCTTTACACTTCACTGTATCACTCCTTTACACTTCACAGTATCACTCCTGCTTTACACTTCACTGTATCACTCCTGCTTTACACTTCACTGTATCACTCCTGCTTTACACTTCACAGTATCACTCCTGCTTTACACCTCACAGTATCACTCCTGCTTTACACTTCACTGTATCACTCCTGCTTTACACTTCACTGTATCACTCCTGCTTTACACCTCACAGTATCACTCCTGCTTTACACTTCACAGTATCACTCCTGCTTTACACTTCACAGTATCACTCCTGCTTTACACTTCACAGTATCACTCCTGCTTTACACTTCACTGTATCACTCCTGCTTTACACTTCACAGCCTTGAGTTTGAAGTTGTCTAACAATGAAACCATGCACAGAAAAAGTCTTTGTGTCTGGCAAGAACGCTCAATCACAGGAAAACCACTTTAACTTTTGATATCGCAGAGTTTATTAAAGCTGCAAATAAAAATCCATTATGCTTTGGAAGAGCTTTAGAGATTTGAGTTAACCGCGGTCTCATTTGACATTACTTCACGCATTGAAGTGGCACCATTTATTTTCGTGGATCTGCCTGGTGCGGGCGGCGGTATTATGAGGCTGGTTATGTGGCGACTTCCATTTGATATGTTCTCCGTCAGAACACACTCATTTTGAGACGTCGATGGATTTTCTTGGTCAGCGGCCGTGTATTTTCGCCCAGTAAAGCTGTGGCGGAACTGATCGCGGTTGACCAAATAATCTGCCAATGCCCTCCCTGGAAATGCAGTGACAACAAAAAAATGTCCTAAGTCTTCCCGAGCTCTCATCCCCATGAGCTGGATCAGCACTTGTGTCACCAACTCCAGCTAAGTGCAGAGGATTTGAACTTTGGTGAAGGTCTAGAGGGTTTGTGTTTAATCACTCGATGACGTCCTTGCACGAGAAATGTCAACACATTGATTACGGTTGCGCCCGTTTGACATTGACTTAAAACTTTCTCATTCAGGTAACAAGTCAATGCCTCTACAATGAGCCGCTGTTTGCACTCAATAAGGCAAGGTTGGTCTGAGAATCTCGTATTCATTTTTGTATTTGTGAAGGTTTCCCAGTCCCCACGAGAGCAGAAATACATAAACTGTTGTCGGGATTTTTGTGTTGTATTTTTTTCGCCTGCTAGAGTCAATATGGTTTATGAAGCTGAGGTCTCCCCGGGTCACTTGAGAGCTGGACATGAAAGCCAAGCACTTCACAAACAAGCTGTCCTATACTTCAAACGGGTGGCAAAGCGGCCCCGTTTTTCGTCTCCTTCCACGTCCAATGGCCAACACCGCTAATGGCCTCCGGCGCTGCCCCCCCACCCCACACCCCCCTCTCCACCTGGCAGCACAGTATGCTCTGAGCTCGGGCCAAAGGTAAACAGGACCGTGACTGGACCTAGCGCTCCAATATCTTTAGCCATGTCTTTTCGCAGCCATGCACCAAATCAGTAGATGTTTTTTTTGTTCAAGGTGGATTCATGCTTTGAAAAAAAATATATTTGAAATGCGTCTGAAAGAGAAAGTAGGCCTTTCAATGGCTGTTTTGCATTCTTAGCTCCATCAGCCGTGGCACATTGCTAATTCTCATGCCAATCATTATTTTTATTTTTTTCAAACAGAGATGGTGGACTGGCAGACCCTCGCCTGAGGTGTGGGTGGGGGTTGTTACTGTGAATGAAAACAAATAAAACCCACAGAAGTATTTACCCTGTATTAATAAAAATAAGACAAATAGATGAAAAAAAAGTCTTCCAAGGTGTGTCTGGTTTCTCCACATTTAAAAGCTTTGCAACTAACTTTCTGGCTTGTTTTGACCAAACAGCATTGTGGATCGATACAGTAAATCTTAGGGAAGTTCACTATTGTTTCCAGACTATTGAAGAGGACAGAGACAACATTGAAACATCTTTAGATCTTAAAAATCGTAAAAATTCAGAAGTTGACTTCACTTCAATAATAGCAGCAGTTATTTATTATTATTATTGTTACCACAAGCCACAGTTGACATTGTATATTGCACATTTACAAGATACAAGACATTATATGTACTACACCTTGAACACCATGTCATAATCAATACTGACTACTTTTGTTAAGACCAGTATTTTTATTTTCATATCTGCTGGTACGCAGTATTTGATAGAGTAGTAACGTGATGTCCATGTGAGTCTGCTGTCAGAGTGAGGCGACTGCACTGAACCTTTATTGTGTGTTTTTAGGCAACATACTTCCCCTCCATTGTCTAGAATGAGTCTGTGTGTGCGAATAGTTGGTGGTGTTCAGACGAGCCGATGGCACCGCTTCTGTGTCGATCTGTCCCAGGGATTCCTCCGTTGCTCCAGGGCAGCTGTGGCTACACTAATAGTAGAGGCTGAAAAAAAGCGTCTACGAGCCTTAAATAAAACCAAAGCATTATAATGATTTATGTGTTTATGAGTATTAATTACTATAGTAAAGACTATTTTCTTCTGGTAATTGATTGATTCAACACATTCCACAATCAATGTCTCGTGTTGGACAATTTGCAACCATGTATGCAGTAACTCCAGCAGATAACATATTAGTATGTATGGATTTCATTTGTACTTGTGTTGTGGGGCATAACTATGAAGCAGTGAATGTGGAATGTGCTGCAATTGAAGCGTGGCTGATGTATGTTGTATCATATGCTCGAAATAACAATATCCAATCAATTACAGTAGAAAATGCTCCTCACATCGACCAGCCTCAAAGCCTTCCCAGTGCCCAGCCATACCCCTCCCTCTCTACCCCCCTCCCCAGCCGGCCGGCAATCTGACTGGAAGTGGCCAGAGTGCAGCCGGGCAGTCGTCCAGGGCCCTTGTTCCGAGCCTGAATATTCATCTTCATTAGGGCTATCAACACCCCCGCACTGCCCTGGCCACAGCCCCCTAAAACCGGGAGCAAGTGATCCGTAAGGAGGGTGCTTTGGGGGGTCATATCAAACGGCTGGAGGTGGGAGGATCTGCTGTAATTAAACAAAAATAGTTTCCTTTTGTTGAGGCGCGTAGGCAGGTCGCCCTTGTCAACAGGTTTCTACGATATGTTTTTTCTTTCGTTTGTTTTGACAGCATGTGAAGCCAGGCCGGGTCAGGAGGGCTGAGGAGAGGCTTCTGGTTTGTCCACTCTATTCCAAGGTGATCCAGTTTAAACCTTTTTTTATTTTAATACATGTATTCCAAGTGTCGTTATAGTAATATGACAGAACACACCAAGTCTTTAACAACAACAACTGCACTTTGTTTGAGGTTTGTAATTGTTTGAAAGTGCGTTGACCTGCGATGAACTTGTAAAAATCTGGCTGCTTTTGCAAAAGACAGGTTTGGCCCCTTGATAGTGCAATGGGCACACAGCCAGACCACTTCTTAGCACTGAGCTTCTTTCTATTAGTCCAACCGCTGCTGTTGTGTTGCCAGACAGCAGGAATAAAGACTAACTTTTATAGACTAGATAACATAACATAGGGTTAGGGTGAGTCAGTAAGTAATCTTTAATTATATAGCGCCTTTCATATAGACCAGAGTCATAAAGCGCTTTACAATTGTGGGAATTCGTCTTTCACTCCACGCACAGACGGGAGAAAGGTCGACAGTGCAGGAGGCAAATGCCAGACCTATTGTACATGTTTTTAGTGGTAGGGGAAACTGGAGCACCCGGAGGAAACCTACGAAGACACAGGGAGAACATGCAAACTCCACTCAGAAAGGCCCTATTCCGACCGGGATTCGAACCCAGGACCTTCTGGCTGAGAAGCGAGAGTGCTATCCGCCCCAAAGGGTTAGGGTGGATTGTATTTAATGTTCAAATGGTGTTGGGTTGATATCCTTGAGTTATTGGAAATCAAATTACTCGAGGCTGGTTTTCATTGTGTTTCTTTCTTGTAAAGGAAACCTGAGAAAACTCATAAGAGAACATGCAATCTCCAAAAGGTAAGTCCCTGTGGAAGTTAGACCATGACCCTTTTGATGAAAACTCTAAGCACTGTGCTGCCCAATTATTTGGACAAAATATAAAGAGAATACATAATAAAAAAGGCAGGATCAGATGTTTATAAAGTACACACTATTGAAATGCTCAGACAGTACAATACAAACTATTCTTGTAAAGCCCTAAATCACAACAGAAGTCATCTCAGAGACTTAACAAAACCATTAAATCACCGACACAGATCAGAGAATCAACAGTTAAAACATAAAGAATATAGAACACATGTAAATGTCATACGTGTTGTTTACTCAATAATTACAGAGCTGGTTCATTTTGTCTTTAGAAGTTCTTGTGAGTATGCATTATGTCTTCAGGTTGTTTCCAAAAAAATATATAACATTTGTTACCAAATATAGCAAACAAACTTGGTTCCAGGGCCAGTGCTAGCTACAGGCCTCCACCCTAACCCACATCTATTTACTGCTAATCACAAACTAAATGATCTTGGTAATCTATAGTCATCCAGTGTCTTCCTCTCAAAAACATGTCCCGGTTTCCTCCCACATTGCTATGTTTCTCCCTGGTTGCACACTGACTGCGTGTATATTTTACAACACTGTCACGACCAATGGAGACTCCTGTGAAACACCAGTCTCAAAACCCAGACATTTTCTGCCAATTACATCATTTATTCCTCCCAGTTTAACAATGAGAGATTTGCCTTTTTTTGGTCTGCGCTTGTTCCCTGATGCCTGTCAGAGCCTTCGCTGCTTCAGAGCCTGCAGCACTGAAATATACATTACAGCTTTGTTTAGCATTTGTTTAACTTGACTACAATTAGGCATACGATGTGTCTTCTGGCAATGTTTTATTGTTATGTGAGCCAGGCCAAATTGCACTCCCTCTTGGAGGATGGGAAGCGAAATGAGATGGATTTGATGTAACTAGTTTTTTGTCTGACTTCGAGCAAATGGCGGGTGTGCTATTATTAAAATGGGACGTTTGGCTTCACTCGCTATGAACTTTACCGCCTTCCAATACTTGAAGGAGCGCTATCTTTTCTTTTTACAGCTTGTCTTTATGGAGATGTCATCACAATTGCGTGGATTTTGTGCATGTGTTTCTGGAAATAATGTTAATATTGTAAAAACCATCAATCTAAACAATGACTGGCTTTAACTGAGTTTTTTGTTGGGTTTTTGTTGGTAAGAAGACAGGAGCTCATCAAAGACCTAATCCGAACATAATGAAGACAGAAGAGCAGCCTCCATGTGGATTTATCAGTTTGGAGTGATGAGGGCTCTAGAGAAAAAAGGCACTAAAAGTTATTTTTGTTTGTGTGATGCACTCGACTGGTCGTTCCATAGTAAAAAATGTCATTTCGTACTTAGGTCTGGATTTGCTCCATTGACTCCGTTAACAGGTGGGAGGGGCAGATTGATACGATTGGACCTGAGTTTACCGCGACGTATGTTATGCACCCGAGTGAGTTGTTAGCATTTAGCCTAGCTTTAGCATTTAGCCTAGCCATCTCCTTTGCTGCTAACGGAGCCCGTGGGGAGTAGCGCCACAATCTTTGCAGGAATTACCTTTGCTAAACATTCCTCTTGCTCCAGCTTCAATTTCTCAATAGAACCAGACCGGATTACTTTACTATCACATTCTTCGCCATTGCCAAACCACAACCGGCCCGTTCGGCGCAAACTCTACACCAATCTCAGTCACAGAAAAGCCCTTGAAGTTCTGGAACATTATTTATAACTCTGGAATTTATCCTCCCACTGATTTTTTATCAATTTAGCACGATGGACATTATTTAATAATATTGTTTTAATTCAGGAGAAACTTTATACAGGGTTTGTATGTAATAAGCACTATTGGTGTTCTAATGGTCATTACGACTAAAATCCAACTATTGTTTTCTAAATCTTCCTTCCTGGGTATTCTAATGACCCCTTTTGTACATGGCTGGTTTTAGTTTATCAGGTGATCAAAATCTCACCTCCATAAACTTGCCAAAACCAAACCAGAGTCTCTCAGATTAACACCATGTCCACTGTGTTTTTAATTGAAAATAACTCGTTTTAAAACTGCTATTCGGAAAAGGTCAGTTATGATTTGCACATGTTGACTTATTATCTGGGGACACGTATGCAAGATGTAGTCGCAATTTAGAATGAGATTATTACATACTGAGCAGCTGTGGAAGCTTCTTATTCTCCCAATTATGCAGGATTCAGGCTTGGCCTATGGGTGGAAAGACATACCAACTTTTACCACCAAAAGTATATTCAATTTCATGGGTGTTTTATTGGGTCGTCCCAGTAAAATGAATGAATAAGTTTTAATCTTCATCAGAGTGCCTTGGACCTGTATGAATTGATCACTCCACACTGACATGTCTACACAGAGGCTCTTCTTCTTCAACAATTTGTCTATGCTTTAAAAAAAAATACGAAATGAGTGGAGCTAAGAGCAGTGCTTATTTGGACATGTGGCAATATATTTGGAAGAAAAGTCCAAATATCTCACACACCACTTCAATGGCTCAGTTATCGAAGTGGCATGAAAAAAAAAACTTGCATAACAAAAGGTCAGATAAACAGCAAGCATCAAGCGACACATCAAGTTTTTGAAGAGTTCAGCTTTTCAAACAATCACCAAAATAGATAAGCACTGGTTGGGGCCAATGTTCACCCAGAATAAGACTTTTTCTCCTCAAAGGGAAT